GTGGGCAGGGGATGTGACCAGCCAGTGGAAAATCTGCTGCACCAGGAGAAAAGGCAGTTTTGGGAAAGTGGCGATGGTGCGCTGACCCATGCAGGAGAAGGATGCTTGACCCCAAAGATGCCGCTCTAGAAATAACCTCTTTCATTGGACTGGATGCGTTTGGGTGTCCTGCTTGTAAACCAGAGATGGCTCTTTGGGCCAATCAGCACTCAAGAGGATTTGATGCCCAGCAGACCACCATTCATGTTTCATCCCCTGCCTTCTTGGAGCTGGAGGTCCAGGGCCTGTCAGCATTGAGCTCTAAAGTCCCTGGATGGGCTTGATCTAAACGGTGCACGAACCACAAGCCATTCTGGTTAAAAACCAGGGTTTATGGCTCAGTGCTGTGTGGTGAGTCCAGTCAGTCACTGTCAGAATGTAGAAGCTTTGGGGGACCATCCGCTTCCCCATCTAAGACCTGACATAGACTTGCAGTAGCCGGAAGTAATATATCCTCTCTACCAGACTGGACAGATTCTGAAAGAAGGCCAACGTGTGACTTTTTAAAAGACAAAACCAGTTGAAAGTGGTCACCCAGCTTTGGAGACCTTCAGAGACTCAGCTTTCCTCTGCTTGCCACAGGTCTCCAACTCTCCTTCGGAAATTATTTTGTAGTCCTTCAAGGAAAGGAGGAATAAGATTCAACAAGAACCTTCCAGCCATCAACAGTTGGGTTGGGTTTCCCCTGGAGCGACGACATTCAACCGCTTTTATCCCTGACCGGATGGCCAAAGGCCTCTCTTCTCTTATTCTCCCTTGCAGTAATTCAAGGTTAAACCATTCAGAGGGAAAAGAGGACAGTGTCTATCTTTTTTAAAAGCTTTTGCAGAGTTTCGGAGGAACAAGGCGACATGAAGCTTTTACTGAACAGTTGCATTTGGCTATTGTTAAAAACACAGACGCAAGGGGTGTGGAAAGTCAGCAGTTTCATCTGCTGCATCCTCGGTTGATCTGAGTTGCTGGGAGTCAGAAACCCTTGAAGAAAGTCTCTGAAATGTGTTCATTCCCTCTCTTTTCTCTCTCTCTCTTTCTGCCTCTCTGCCTCTCCCTCCTCCGTCTGCCCGCGGGTCGTCTCTTTCTCCTAGTTAGCAGCCCAAGTCCTGGAAGAAAAAGGGGTCGGATTTGGTCTCGTGGACTCAGAGAAAGATGCTGCCGTGGCCAAAAAACTAGGTAATGCTTGATGTCCTTGGAGACCTTTCTTGGCTGATCAAGGTGGGGGTGGGTTCTAGTCTGAAGACCCAAGGTGTGGGTGGCATTTCTTTCTCGCCCAAGCTGAAAGCTAGATTGGGTGGGGATCCACCTTTTCTCCATCAAGGGCCAACCAAGGGACCTTTTCTGCTGGGGCTGGGCTGGAAACAGAGAACTTTGGAGGCCACGAGCCAGCAGAGGGCAGTGGAAACTGCCAGGCGGTGTGTCCATGCAATGCCATCTCCCTCTAGGGAACTTTTGGAATATCACCTAGACAAGTAGGTCTGTGCCCCAGAAGTCCCCCCTCAGGGCAGAATGTAGCCACTTTGAGCCTCTCTTCCAACTCACTGCCTGATTTCTGGGATATTTATAAAGAAGGAAAGGGACCGGCTGGAAAGCAAGTGACCTTTGTGAGACAGATCTGCCCTGGGGTGGGCTGCCCGTTTCCTCAGAAAGGCTGCCACCTCTTCATGCTCAGAGGTCCAAGCGCAACCTCTGGGTGCCTCTCACTGCTGTTTTTGATGCTCCCGCAGGGCTGGTTGAGGAAGACAGCGTGTACGTGTTTAAGGAGGATGAAGTCATTGAATACGATGGGGAATTTTCAGCGGACACCTTGGTGGAGTTTCTCCTTGATGTAAGCAGCCCCTTCACCATCTTCCTAGCTCCCCGCAGCCCCTCCCCCTTCTCCACAGGGGGTAAAGTCCCATAATGTAAAGGCAGGAGAATCCAAGAAGGGTCTCTCTCCAGCCCCACCCTGCTGATGGTCCTTGGGCACACTCCCACCCCTCAAGGGCCTTTTCTGGGCACCAACCTCCCTTGACCAGCTCTTCCAAGTTCTGCAGCTGAGCCAGCTCGGATCTTGTGCCTTCAGCCACGGCCCATCATAGTCATCTTCACCTCAGTTTCATCCAGGCCAGTGGGAAGCATGGCTGGTGTCAGGTTGAGGGTGGCCTTCCCATTTTGAGTTGGGTCACCCAATGAAGGGCTCCTGCAGCACCCTGGGTGGGGGTTGCTGGGAGTTACTCTTCTGCTACTCCCAGTTGGTTCTGAACTGCTGGGACTAAGAGGGGGCCAGAACAACCTGCTTCCAGTCCCTGTGCAAGGTGCTGATGGATGTCCTCTAAAGTGGGCAGAGCGCCTTTCTCCCATATGGATGGACTCCAAACGCAAACATGGAGACACCCCCCCCCCATTTCCTCGCCGCAAAGGTGGGCCTGAAGCATGGAGACATTTCTGCCCTGGACCCAAGTCTCCTTCCCTTAGAAAGTCAACGATGCCTTGCGGAACAATCCCCTGGGGTGGCCAGGCAGAGATGGCCAGAGAGCAGAGTCTTGGTGCTCCAAAGCCAAGGGCTGACCCTCACCCTTTCCTGCAGGTCCTGGAGGACCCCGTGGAGTTTATTGACGGAGAAAACGAACTTGAAGCCTTTGAAAATATCGAGGATGAGCCCAAACTCATTGGGTACTTCAAGAATGAGGACTCTGAGCGTAAGCACAGCACTGGAGGAAGGGGGTCTCAAGGGAAATGGAGCACCCGAGATTGGGGAGCAAGGCTGACGATGATGAAATTTCAGGGCACCAGAAAATAGCCCACCAGGCCAAGGAAACCAGCACAAGGGGGGAGACCGTCTTCTGGGTCCAGCAGTCCAAGGAGTTGACGCTCTGCCTTCTCTTCCAGATTTCAAGGCCTACGAAGACGCTGCTGAAGAGTTCCATCCTTACATCCCTTTCTTTGCAACTTTTGACAGCAAGGTACCCAGGGCTGGCAGGGAGGGTCAAAAGGAACTTCCCCAAATGTTGTAGAGAGAACAGTCAGCAGGAGGAAAAGGCTGGGCGTCCACATAGACGAGCAGTTCCCTTTCTAGGGACGTAAACACCACATCGACTGGTCTTTTGTGCCAGTCCCGTTTGGAAGAACAGGACCAGGGGACAACTGGGCACGCTTCTATGCTCCTTATACCCCTGGAAGCAAAAAGGTCGGCGATTTCTTTTTTTTAAATAACTCACACGCTCTTAGGGGGGAAAGCCCTGCGTATCAACAGCACGGTGCCTTTCTTAGGGGCAATTAAAATGTAGCCAGTTTGGTTGTTGTTGTTTAGTCGTTAAGTCGTGTCCGACTCTTCGTGACCCCATGAACCATATTGCGCCAGGCCTTCCTGTCCTTCACTGCCTCCCTGAGTTTGCTCAGTTTCATGCTCATTGCTTCAGTGATGCTA